GGCTGGCCTTGAATTCACAAAGATCTGCCTGTCTCTGCCTCCCAAATGCTGGGATCAAAGTTGTGTTCCACCATGCCCAGCTAACACTCGTAATTTTAAGGAAAATTATCATGAAACAAACTTTGGTATCAAACAGTAGTTGTAAGTTTTATTTCTTGATATTTTAAAATGAATATTATTTGAATATATGCAGTTAAATAAATGAGTTTGTATGGTAGCATTTTACTTCTACAAATATTATTCTAGAAAATGTATTTAAGTGACTATTCTAACATGTGACTTTGTGAGTGTATTTTAATCATCATTTATTTTGTTTTTTGTACACAAGCTTCCTCTTCTTCAGACATATCTGGTAGGCAACTCTTTTTTTTTTTAATAAAACAAGTCTTTACTTTAAAACTTTCTATTCAGCTGTTTGTAAATTTTTATTATTCTCATAGTTTGATTTTATTATTTTGACTTAATAAAATATTTTTGTAATGGAGATGATTTGTTTAATTTACTTGGATTTTTCTAAGATCATCTTACAGGTATTAAAGTCTTTGTGTGATATTTTACAGATAATAAATATAACACCATGAAACAGACGGTTGTAGTAGAGGACAGAAGACACGTGAATGTGTGTCACTTAGGATTTTCCAGGTTGGTGGGTGGCTTTTGAAAGGATACAACATCATAATTTTGAGTGAAATGATTAGTGCTGTAGCTGTGCATTTGACCAGGAAGTTTGTAGTCTGCTGGTTCTGTTTTCTAAAGTACTTGACTGAGAAAGCGGTCCTCTCATGGTGTGATGGGGGATGAGATGCATCTCCTTGGCTCTGCTACATCAGTAGCAGTGCTGTTGCATTTTCAGTAATAAATCTGCACACTCTGTCATGAGATGCTCAAGATAGCATCTAACAGTTAGGCCTTGGCACAGTGTGACTCAACAGTGTGTCATGATAGATTAGCATCTATCAAGTCCATCTAACAGCGCCTTGTGGATTTGTTCAGTGTCACCCTTGAAACATTCTTGCTCATCTAGAGCCACATGAATTGCATGGGTAAAATTATGCCACACTTGAAGTTTTAGTTAAATTTCCTGTTTAAAATGAACTTTAATCTGACTTTCAAGTTGTGATTTGCTTTCAAGTAATATACCAGTATGGGGGAGAAAGAGTGATAAGAAATGAGTATATTTTTCTATGTGTATGAGACCTGTCTTTGGTTGCACCTCTCTTCATCCCTTGGATAGGTGAGTAATGAGAACAAACCCTGGGTGAGCATCTAGATTCCTTTGGTGTACTCTTCTAGACTGCAACATGATAGACTCTATAAATGTCAAAAACTGAAGAGAAAATCATTTCATTTGGATAACGAGTAAAATTGTAAATGAATAAATGGAGATTTTGGTGTGCCCTCTTTTGTACATGGCTTGTTCCATTAATAAACAAGACAGAACAGAATGCACTTGGAAAAAACCCTTCCTTGAAGTGTTATGCCTGCGCCGGGTGTTGGTGGCGCACACCTTTAATCCCAGCACTAAGGAGGCAGACTCAGGTGGATCTCTGAATTCAAGGCCAGCCTGTGAGTTCAAGGTCTCCAGAGCGAGTGCCAGGATAGGTTCCAAAGCTACACAGAGAAACCCTATCTTGAAAAACCAAAAAAAAAAAGAAAAGAAAAGAAAAACAAGAAGACATGTTATGCCTAAGAGTAGTTGTTAGACGCTCTTTGAGGCTTTGCTGAAGGCTCCTGTGATCACACAGCTAGGGTGCTATTGCTGTTATATATCAGGTTCCCAAAACTGTATCAGCCACCGCACTGGCTCAAAGGGTTAAATGTCTATATGGATTATGTATTAGAACAGAAGAAAACTGAACATTGAAAATGGCCCTGTGCTTGCTCTGTAACACATTGAATTGAATGGGGTACAGCGTGTGAGTCTGCCTGTCTTCCCCACCTCTCGTTTTGTTATTTATTAATATGTCAGTGGGTAGCAAGTTTGAAAATACCTACTGTACTGGCCTGTCTTTGGGGTTCTGACAGGGTACACCCTCAGCTGCAGCCACTAAGAGCACCTCCTGTGCACATTCACTATGTTCTCTTTAAAAGGGGCCCTGACCACCTCCCATCCTTCTCTCTTTCCTCCTCTCCCTCTCTCTGTTTTTCTCTCCTCTCCTCTCTTCTCTCCCCCTCATTCCTCTTTCCTGCTGCTCCTGTCTCTGGAGGCTGATCTCCTCCCTGCCTTTCCCCTTTTTATGATCCCTTTCTCTGTTTAAACAACAACAGCAACACCCTCTGCTTGAACCATATCACATGCCATCTTTCTCCCTGTGCCAATCTTCTTAAATCACAACGCCTATAAATAAGCAATTAGAAGTTAAATCCACCCATATCTGAAAATAATCAAATCCATGGCAAATACATGTGGTTCTATGTTGTCTGTTGTTTAAATATATAAAATATTTTAGTTTGATATATATATATATATACACATATATATATATACATACATACACATACATATATGGCAACTATTTTATTGAGATAATTATTTGTCTTTGCATCTAAATAGTGCACATACATCCTAGAGATTCCATGTTTGTACATATTGTATATGACAAAAGCGTGTTTCAGGAACAGTCTTCTTCATGGTATTATTTAATGATGTTATAACTAATGCATCCTTAATTCTAAAGGGAAATGCCTTTATATGTTCATGTTACTGAAACTTGTATTTTTTTCAGTGCATGTTGTACATATTGGTAATGGTTTTCCCACAAAACGTTTCTGAGTTGTCTGCTTCCTCCAGTATGACTTGTCAGTGACCTCAGAGTACTGATGAGTGTGGACAGTATTTCCAGATCAGATTAATGAAGAATTCTGAGGCACGTCAGAAACCTTTCTCATAGCTCATCACCAAGAAAGGAGTTGTCATACACTCCCACTTATCCTGCTGCCCAATCACTGCTCTTTTCCTTCAGATCTGCTCACTGTTGACCTGACAGGAGCTGCAGAGGACACTCGAGGGTCTCTCTCTCCAGTCTGTCTGAACTCATACACAATAACGTGGACAAGTTCTATATATAAATGAGAACTAAAATATTTTTCAGAAGAAATTAAGGATGTATTTTCAGAATCATCAAGTGTGGTTTCTCAAAAGCCACAGTTGCATGTTCCAGCATATTTTCTTTTTTAATTTAACTTACAACCATCATGTCCAAGTCATGGCCATGTGCAGACATCGCTATTCCATGCCAAAAAAATAAAATAATGAAATCTTATAAAACCAGCTTTCTTGAGCCTAGGATGAAGCTCATTGGTCTCCACCAGGTCTCTACCATCTGCAGTTATGTGCTCCTGGGTTAGAGATCTGGACCTCGGACAAAACAAACCAACCCTCTTCAGCTGCAACCAATATCCTCACTCTCCAAAGATCAGACTATAATTATCCAAAACCATGACCCAAAACCTCTTGACTTCTCCAGTCCTAGACTGAATTAGGTGCAACCATTCATTTATTGTAGCACACGAGGATCCTAACTTTGAAAGTTAATTGTCTCTATTTTTTCTTAAGTAGATGTTTAACTGTATAATACAGTTCTTAGAAAGTAGTAAAATGACATTCCCTGACATCCCAGAAATGTATACACCAGTGTACTTTTAAAACAAGTGTCTGCCATTGGTGCGTATCACCGTCATATTGAAATAGTGATAAACCGTTAGAATGGCAAACGCCATTTTGGTTTGTGATGGGCCAAAGGCATACGATAGAAAAAGTGAGAAAGAATAATTTGGGTTCCCACTGCTCATTCCAGACCTCTGTTTCATTTTATTTTAGTTTTTGTTATGGTAGTGTTGTTGTTTATTTGCTTGAGACAGAGTCCTCTCCTTGTAGACTAGATTTGCCTGGGACTCACTATGTAGCCCAGGCTGGTCTGAACACACCACAGTGCACCTACCCCAGCCTTCACCATGCTGGGATTTTAGACCTGATCAACCATGTCCAGCATAATTGTGGCTTTAGCAGGCCATTCATTGTTTCGGAAGTCTTCACCAGCATCTGACGGGTTCCGTGGCTTCCAGGCCTACTCTCTATCCGTTGCTCCTCCATAGAGCCAGACAGGGAAATGCCAGGAGTCTGCTGAACAAAAGAGAAATAGTAAAGGGATCTTGCATAATCTAACTGTATTATTTTCACTTTTCACACAAAACATACAAATATATCAAAATTCTAAAACATGTTTACCATTATTTGTTTCTAAAACATTGAAATTTGATTTAAAAACAGAAGCCCTTGGTAGTGAATTTGTGGGAGGAGTGTGTAAACAGGGCATGCCCTAAAATGACTCATCTTTCATTAACAAATCTAACAATATAAACCACAGCTCCATACAAATACAGCTGTTATTAGCCATTATGTTAACACTGGCTTTTGTTTGGCTTTATTTTAATGTAAATTATAATCAGACATTCAGTTTAATTTTCCCTACAAGTTCAAAGCTAGTTTTTAAAGTAGTTTGTATTGTTAGTGGTGTTTTGTTCCATTGGGTTCTGTTGGTTTGTGGGTCCTATAGCTGTCAGTCTGTGGTTTCTCCTTTGCTCTCCACAAGGTCTAACACACAAATCGTCTGTCTGGGACTGCCCTTTACCACAGCCAGCTGTTCTCAAAACTCCATAGACCAAGACATGCAAATGCCCTTAGCTGTGTTACAGACCCCGAAATACCAATTCCAGCTTATTAACAACAGTCAACGATTCTGTCTTTGACTGATGTCTTCTACACGACTTTCAGATATGTTTTCTGGGACATGGTTGTAATTAGGTTTGAAGTTACTAAAGTGGTCCCTATGTAGAGCAATATTGGAGGCTCTTAGAAGTTGATGTCACACGGAGGGTACACTTGTCCTTGCATCAGTTGCCACCATAAGGGTACTTACGTCCATAATGCCACATGTCATGTCTCCTTTAACAGGACTTACGAATTCTTACCAGACACCATCTGTTTTCTTTTTTTCCAGTGAAAGAATTTCTAGCCAAAGCCAAAGAAGACTTTCTGAGGAAATGGGAGAACCCTCCCCCGGTAAGGAAGCTGTTTGTTTTCTGTGACTGGAGATGCCTATGTTAAGTAAATCGAAGTTCTTGCTTAACTTATCGCTACTCCAGAAAGTTTACTTTATAAGTGTTATTAGTAAACATATTATAGTGTCTATGGTGGGAATTCTACCCTAATGCTGTGGTGTCATTTATTAATTGACAGTCTTACAGATACCTCCATTGAAGAAGCAACCCTCTTCTCATAGTATCCCTAAAGGGCAGATGGGTGTTTCTTGGTACTTTGTTTCTTGGCACAGTCTTGGGAATTGAATGTAGGGTCTCACATATCATAGGCAAGTTCTCTCCCACCACTGTGTGCCATGACTGTTGTTAAATGTTGATACTCTTGGCTTACACTGTGCTTAGAAAGATGTATACATTCAGAGTGAGTCAAAACGCATATGGAAAATAACTGTGAAGAGATGGTAAATATCTGGAGAATTCAATAAACTACCATCAAAAGAAAAAAAATGTTGATACTAAGTCCAAATTGCTATGTATGATAGAAACTCAGTGTTTTCTGAAGTACTAATTTTCAGCTACACAAGTTGTCATGTGACATACTAGAAAGGGGGCAAGGGAAGACATTCTTTTATTGTATGAAAAAAGCAATGATGAAACATAAAGTGATGTCCTGTTGCACACTGTTCCTACTGCTTGAAGGTGACTGTATTAACCTTTGCAACCCACCTGTGTCAGTAAAATAAAAAAATTAGATGTAAAATCACAGTTAATTCAATCAGAATTGTGAAGACTTTTCTACTTTGATAAAGTTCCCACAAATGTGAAATGACCAATGTCATACAATTTATAAGTGAAATGTAATTTTGCTTTCTTTCTGTCATGAAGCAACATTTGCTTTACTGTGGAGATTGAATTACTATGGCACTCTCCTGCAGCTATCTGGCCTAGCATGTATAGAAGAGCCATATCATACTGGTTTTGCTCAAGCTACAAACTGCAGATTGAGCCTTGAAAATGTTTTTCTGAGGTTTGCATGAGTATCTTCATAACGAAGCCTATTAAACAGATAGGTCAGCAATCATACTTGTTGCTGCCACATAATTTGTTCCTAGTAATTTTCTTGTTGTTGTGGCAGCAACAAATTAAATGGATTGATGCCTCTAATTCTTTGCTTCTGTGCAGTAGTCAAAACCAAACAAAGATGTTTGCTTATAACAAAACAGCTATTCAAGGAGGGAAAGAATCTGATTATTCTTCTGAGACTTCAGCTTCAGTTCTTTGTGGGATGAAGACTCGTCTCCTTCCTGTTTTAGGTAATGCTAGGTTATTACGACGCCAAGGAGAAAGCTTGGCACTACACAGTTCTGAGGACATTGCCTAGTTCTGTCTGTTCCCAAGTGCTAAGGCTATTATCTAGTTTTACAGATGCTGTACAGTTGTGTGGCTCTTCTTACTTCTGTGGCTGATGACTGGTTGTTTGGCTGCCATCTAGTTCTGTGACTACATACAAAGATACAAAGAACACCACTTCCTCAGAGGCATGAAAACTGATCTCTCAGTTTTCATTTTGCACAACCATTTACAGGTGTTCTGTGACCATATACGTCATTTGACTTTGGTTTGTAATTCTGAAAATGTGCACATAATTCATTAGCTGCGTTACGGATTCACAGTGGAGTTGAAATATGACCGTGAATGTTTTAGATAAGGCTTTTATTTCCTTCAGTAGTTTTGTGCTCCATTTTATAAAGTTATTCTCTATTATTGGACTTTTGTTACTCAAAGGAGACTAGAGAATGGATAATGTGAAATCTGAAGAGTGTATGTGTATCATTTCCACATGAATAAGCTGAAATCAGATTATCCACTATGGCTGTGTAACTCTGAGTGGTAACAATTGTAGTTCTGTGGCAATTTCTAATTTAAAAGTTCATTGCATTATTATTTTCTAAATTCTTGTATAGAGTAATGCTGGGCTTGAAGATTTTGAAAGGAAAAAAACCCTTGGAACGGGTTCTTTCGGGAGAGTCATGCTGGTGAAGCATAAAGCCACTGAGCAGTACTATGCCATGAAGATCTTAGACAAGCAGAAGGTGGGTGTCCTGGTGCCCTACTTGCTCTTCCTTAAAACAGTTAGTGGTATAAGCTGCCATTGACACCTTCCGATAACCCTTGAGGTTGCTGTTGGCATGTTTATTATTTATTGTAACTGTGTGATGTGTGGTTAATGTAGGTTTTCGTATCTGGGAACGTGTCATTTCTGTATCTGTGATAACACATGTCTATGCGCACTAACAAAATACACAATTCCGTCTGTGTGGTAGTACAAATTACCATACATGGGATTTGGGATGATGTAGGTTAATTATATTGGGGAGAAATCACCTACGTGAGAAACGGATAACCCTGGGTCAGTGCTCTGAGCATCCAACCTAAGCTGCCCTCCGAACCCGACTGGAACCAAGAGAGCAAGCCTGTCCCTCCTCAGACCAAAATCCCACACGTTCATGTACACACCTGTGGCCACGCCCAAACAGGCATGGTCAGCGCCACAGGTACCTAATGAGATCTCACTACACATCTGTGCAGAACAAGCACCTCTTACACTGCATCCACAGACTGATGAACACAAACTTAGTGACATTAGTTACTGTCCCATTTTAATTCATAGCAGAAACTTGCGTGCTTGACATGACTGGGTTTACCAATTAAGTTATGGAAAAACTATAAAACCTGTATTCTACATAAAACAACTTTTTAAATTATTTATTTGTATTTAATGTACATTGGTGTTTTGCCTATATGTGCGTGTGTGTGTGTCAGATACATTGAAACAGAAGTTACAGACAGTTGTGAGTTGCCATATGAATGCTAGGAATTGAACCCTGGTCCTCTGGAAGAATAGCCAGTGCTCTTAACTGCTGAGCCATTTCTCCAGCACCCTATAAAACAACTTTTAATTGTTTCTATATCAGTATGATAAACCAGGACATCTGAAGTATTTAATACCTTAAATAGTGAGCATTTTTTGTTGTTGTTTTCCTAGCCATCACTAGCAATTTAGGGACAGACATGGGTAAATATTGCTATATTACTCAGGTGTTACCTGACAGAGACTGGCTTCTTGCTCTGTTGGGATCCAGGTAGGAACTGGTGGCATCATAGTGCAGAGGTAGCCCGGGGACAGACGTGATGGAGTAACTGTTCTATGGGGATATACTGCCGTGGGACAGATGTGGAAGGTAACTTGGTCCTTGCCAATATGCTAATATAAAGAAGCAGGACTTGTGACTCAGCCTTACCTAATAGCCACATTTTAAGAAAAAAAAGTAATTGAAACTAATTTTAAAATCTGCTGTATTTAATAGCTCAGTGTGTAGTGCTTAACTGAGATTCATACTAAGTCTTCAAATTTGTAGTGTATTTTACACTTTAATTAGCCACGTTGTAAATGTTGAATAACCACACTTGTTGGGCACCATCACACCAGACTGTTCCAACTTCATTTTATTGGAAACCAGATTCATCTTTCCCATGAAAAGCAGATAATGGCTTAAGTGCCTCTAAAATTGAAGACACAGATATATGCATTTATTTGAACATCTTTGGCAACTGCCCTCATCAGATTTTCTTACCATCCTTCTTGAAGCAATGGTCTCACTAACTCACTTCCTGTTGATTCCAACCCCACCGTCTCACTGTCCTCCGCATCCCCTGCCTCTCACTGTCCTCACCGCGTCTCTGTCAAGGACCACCACACCGATGACCAAAATGCCAGCTCCAGTGAGCTCTGTTGTGATAGCCTTTCCTCCTAACATGGCCCACCTCAGCCTGTGGAAAAAGCATTCTCCTGACCCCGCCCTGCTTCTGTGGGTCTTCCTTTTGTTCCTTTCCCATTTTATCTTGTTTCCCCATGTTCTTAAAGATTGCTTGTCTCTAAGATGTAGGCTCTGGTGCTCCTGCTCTCTGTCTCATAGCACACACACGCGCACACACACACACATGGTCGTGCACACACACACACACACACACACACATGGTAGTGCACACACACACACGCGCGCGCACACACACACACACACACACATGGTAGTGCACACACACACACGCGCGCGCACACACACACACACACACACACGCTTGCACACACACACACACACACACACGCTTGCACGCACACACGCACACGCACACACACACACACACACACGCATGCACGCACACACGCACGCGCGCGCACACACACACACACACACACACGCTTGCACACACACACACACACACACACGCTTGCACGCACACACGCACACGCACACACACACACACACACACGCATGCACGCACACACGCACGCGCGCGCACACACACACACACGCACACACACACACACAGTTATTTCACATTTCCTCCACATGTGTTCTTATCCACCTACCTCCATGCTTTCTCGGGCTTTCTGTTCCGCTGCTGTCCAGTCTGAGCATGCAGCTTCTGCAGGTAATTTAATTCCTGTCTCTGTTCTGTTGATGAGGTTAATGGATCTCAAAAAGGGTTATCAATTTGCCTGCTCGTGCTGGTAACAAAAAGACGAGAGGCTTTGGTTTCATGTTGTATTTGCAAACCTGCTATTACAGTGTTTATTAAATGTCCTCAAAATAGCCTCTAAGATTATGTCACCTTTCTTAAAGAATTTGTGAAATGCTTCACTTCAAAAATATTGAGAAGATAGTGGTACTTACCATGTTAAAATATTTGGAAAGATATTTTTAGCTTCTAGAAACATTGAGTAAATACCAAAGTGGCTACCTCATAGATAAGTCATGATAATGGATATTTTGCAGAAGAATAACTAGAATTTGATGTGATTCTGTTACTGCAGACTACTGAATCTTGGCATAAATTAGTATGAAAAATGCTATATTGTTATTTGTTTATTTAATTTGTTTGAGGTGAGTAATAAAATAACAGGCCATAATAACTCTTTCTGTCAGTAAGTTCATACAAATAATTCAACTAGGTAAGCTTAGCTTCTCCAATCTTAGTGTACAAGGGGGGAAAATCCATACCGAGATTAAAAAGATGGCATTACTACAATGTGTCAAATGTTGCTAGGATATTATACATTTGGGCACAGGCAAACACATACATACACATGGGCACATATACACATGAAATACATAGGTGCTTGTTGTATCAGTGAGTCTTCACAACTGTATGTGGCATTGCTCTCCCTTTTAAGCTAACCACCGCTCGGTTTCTCCAGTGTCTGACGGCTGCTGAGTTAAGCCCATATGTTGACTGAGGTTTATCTGATTTCTGTGCCTTAGTCTCATTATTTTTCCCTTCAAAATGCACCTCATCCCCAGGATCCTTTCCTCCAGTCCCTTCTGGGAAGCCCAGTTGACTTCAGTAACACCGTGATTCCCCAAACCCCAGACTTTTTACTTCTGTTTGTCTTCCTCTCTGGCCAAATGCTTTCTTACTAGCCCCTCGCATTTCTCTGACTCATCTGAAAGTTTTTGACATTTATTAAATGAAGACAGGGTTCAGCTTATACCTCCTATTTCCTAACATGTCATAATTGTTTCCCAAAATCCACCGGAGTCTCTTACCTCATCTGTCTGTACATGGTCTTTATCTGCTTCTCTGGCTTGAAGGCTGATGCACAAAAGGATGACGGGATTTTCTGGGGAGGGATGCTGTTCAGCTGTCTCCTTTATTAATAACGTCTTTTCTGTTTTATTTGCAAGATGCAGCTGCTGATCTGCCAGTGTTTTCACACCGTGTGTTTAAGCTAACATACGTATTAAGTGTAAATACAAACTCAAATATGAACTGTATCCCAAGGGATATTTATAAAGCTTTCTCTGACACATTCTTCACCAAATTTTCTGAGGTGCTATCCTTAACCATAGCTAAATGAAACACTGATATTGCTTGCCTCATGTGTTTCCTCCTTTGTGAGTGGTTTTGGGGGCTAACCTCTACCCAGCTTTTCCTTCCATCTCTTCTGAACCTGTATTATCTATCGTCTTTTAAACTCAGCTCAGCTCTCACCTCTTTAAATAGTTAAAGTAACAGAAGACTGCTTCTGAGCTGTTGCTGTTGTGTGAGGCCAATCTGGAGTGTTTCATGAATCCCAAGTAATGTTCGATACAAGGATTGTATTTCTTCCGTATTCTGCTCTATGCCTATGTAAATTGAATTTTTAGATTTTAACTGTATTTCTTCAAGTACAATTTGAACAGCTTACTCACTTTTGCCCACTGTTTTACTTTTTCAGTTTTTGATTTTTCCTTCGTCTTTAATTTCCTGCTGTTTATTGAGGTGATAAGTGATTTGATCATGTCATAAGCAGCAAATATTTTCACACAGTCTACTCTTTGTTCCCATTTAACATTTTTTTTCTTAACTTGATTTATAGCTGACTTTGGGGTGGGGGAGCCAGTATCATACTGTGTAGCCTAGGCTAGCCTTGAACTTAAGTAGTCTTAGTGTTGGGATAAACGACCTGCATCACCACAGCTGAAACATACTGACTTTCTGAAGACCAAGGCTGGAATTCTCTGTTAGGCTGTGAACGGTTGACCCTTAACTCTGGTTGACTGTTTTCTGTATTGAAGCCTCATAATTTTGCTTATCCATTGGGATTATTATATGGAAGACTTTCTCTTTAAAATGATAATGTCTTTTAAATTTGTATAAATACAGTAAAGTGTATCTATTTTCACTTGCAGGTGGTTAAGCTGAAGCAAATAGAACATACTTTGAATGAGAAAAGAATACTACAGGCGGTGGAGTTTCCGTTTCTTGTCCGACTGGAGTATTCTTTTAAGGTTAGTTGCACTTCTGTGTAGATATGCCTTTTGACATATGAAACGGTAATAGAATTCCAGTGAAGTGATAAAACTAGAGAATGACAATGTGCTGACTGTGCTCGTCAGCTCTGGGGGCATTGGGGCATGGGGGAGTTCTCCTTCTCCTGGAGCAACTGTTGAGTGATGAGCTGTGTGATTTTCACGCACGGCAACACAAAGCCAAATACTAGAGTGATGCAGACACAGACAGCTTCCTAGTCGGTCTTACACTCCATGGAAATGGAGATGCGGAACATAGTTTCTACATCGTTTAACCCTTCCTGTTGGGACCTGGACGTTTTCTTCATGTAGTAATTTGTATTCTGGACTTTGTGGTTTTGGTTTTTGCTGTTGTTATTTTGCCACCAGGGAGAGCCGCCTCTGTGCAGTGCCTATGACTCAGATAAAGCTGGGAGGGTTGGCCCTTTCGATCCGAGCCTCCTCGGCTCTTCAGAATGATAACATGGCATCTCCCCACTGCTGAATCATGGGCAGCATTTGCTTTTGCTTAGTCCTTTGTTCTTTAAATCTAATAAAGCCTTATGTACTTAAAATATTAAAGCCATCCATCTTGAAAACGTAAGATGTAAATATTCTTATTAGCTTTTCCAAATTGTTTTTTAACTTTGTTATTCCTTTGCATATGCTGTGCTAATAAGTCATTGCTGCAGTATTTCATTATTTGGAAGTTAAATGTCCCCTGCAAAAGCAGGGACAGCAAAAGTCTTGGGCTTCTTTGTGGCTAGAATACTAAAAGAGTGGAGATGAGCGTGCAAAGGCCAGAGCACTTTTTGATCTGTCAATGGGTTTGACTTTTTTCTGTCTAACTTAACATGGTATCATCTTAAAATGTTTTTTACACAGATTTTATAATTGGTACTTATTTGTTATTTGTTCATAGGATAATTCTAATTTATACATGGTTATGGAATATGTTCCTGGGGGTGAAATGTTTTCTCATCTGAGAAGAATTGGAAGGTTCAGGTAACTGTTGCTCCTGGCTTCTTTCCTTGAATCTTCACATGCTTGTGTTTACTTTAAACCAGAATACACTGCAGTTTATTAACCCCTATTTTATCCAGGGAAAGTGTTAGGTAGAAACATTGATAGGAGGCCATGCCGTATATGAGCTTTAAAATCCAAATCAGAAGACAGTGAAACCAATTTAAATGTTCTACCATTGGTATTATGAGATGACTTGAAGAATTAAAAAAAAATACAAAAAATAAATTTTAAAATACCAACATGTATTGAGCAAATAGTAGTATTTAGGACATATAACAATATATGCTGTAAGTGAATATGAGGAAAGACATGTAAAAAATAATAGTGACACAGCACTCGGGAGGCAGAGGCGGAGGCAGGAGGATCTCTGTGAGTTCAAGGCCAGACTGGTCTACAGAGTGAGTTCCAGGACAGCCAGAGCTGTTATATAGAGAAACCCTGTCTCAGAAAAACCTAAATAAAGAAATAATAGTTATATTGTGATGGGATTATATCATAAAGTCTTTTACAATTTAGTTAAAGCCTTTGTTCATTTCAGTGTCCTAACTGTGTACACAGTTTAAGGGCTTTGTGACGTACTAGGTTATCACTAACACTTCTTAGCTTTTCTGGTAGTTTCATCTGTGTACAAGGCTTATAGCTACTACAGTAAATTAGTAATTATTCATGAAATGAATCTAAAATTAAGACCATAACCAGTTTCACTCAGTATTCAGAGTTCAGTTAAAACCTAAGGTGAGTTTCAGTTAAACCGAAGTGTGAGTTCCCCTGGGACTGATGACTCATAATAGGATGATCACAGAGTGGGGTTATCACAAGAGAATAGCAGATAGGCAACCAGTCATTCCTTATTTGAGTTGCCTGAGGCCTAGGCAAAGATTTCATTTGTTGACCTTTATTGTAAGGGGAACCTACTATATATGGAGACTATGTAATGAAAAGTGGTTTCTATTTGGTTTTGATAATCTCTTTCTTCCTGTTCACATCTTTCCTGTGCCATGTGTAAGTAGGCCCAGAGTCCTCCTCATGTTCCCCGTAGTTACCCATGCGCACACTGAGGCGCCACACCCAAACACGGTGCCTCCCTCTCTGCCACCATTTACACCATTTACATCTCTGCTTTGCAGCTTCCCACATCTGTTTCTTCAGTGCCCCACAAGGTGCTGTGCAGAAGGCAAGTTGCCTGAAATATTTCAGTGGGATTCTGTCTTTCCTGAATTCTGACATTTGCTGTGTGAGCTCTATGCATTGAACTCACCTAGAGAATGCCAGAGGATCTAAGTGATTGCTCAGTGTGGCTTCATCAGTCTGGTCAGCCACCGAGTCCTAACTTACACTCATATCTGCACTTAAAGCTGTTTTAAGTTGTAGATTACAGATCTACATACTCTCCATGTTTCTTCTACCAACAACAGCTTGTGTAAACAAATAAATAGGATGCTAAGCAGATCTCACACATACTCACCAGGAGAAAAAATACATAGGGTCTTCCAGATGAAATTCTCAGCTTCTGAGGTTACATACCCCCAAACCAGGAAGGAGTCTCCCAATATCTACCCCAGAGCCTTCCTCATTCTTTACTGCAGGGTTTGGACCTGGTGGAAACTGGAGGGGTGTTATAAAATACCCCGCTGAAAGTGTGTCAGCCAGTACTCACGGAGCACCCAAGTGAGTGAGGCAAGGACCTGGGGTGTGTCAATGGGTGTAAAGAACAGTGTGTGTTAGATTCCCCTGAGGAAAATCACAGTAATGGTTGAGGTTGTTCATTAAAGACAAATCTGAAAGTCATTAAAGTCAAGCAAATTGGCAAACATTCAATGAATGTACTAGAAAATTAACTAGAAATTTGATATACCATTTTCAATTAATAGTAAGATTATAGCATGAAAATTACACTAATATGTCAGCATTAGAACAGTTTGTAGATATATGGTCTATGTATAAGAAACTCACATGGTTTAAGATTTTTGGTGTGTGTGTGTGTGTGTGTGTGTGTGTGTGTGTGTGTGTGTGTGTAAACTGTAAACATACCTAGTACAAGATTTGGAAATTCACGTGACAAGAATGCCTGTGAATTTCTAGATGAGTTGTGTGCACTCTTCTCTTATCCATACTTCCCATCATGCCTTTTCTCTGGTGAGCTCAGCCATTTGTGAGCTACTTCAGAGTAGGTGAGACAATTTTTGCCTTGAGAAGACTACAAATGAGACTCTGTGCAATGAAACTCTTTAAGCCTATGAACTGGTAACTGTACTAGTGGCTCTTATAGACTATGGAATGGGCACGTTTTCTTTTCCATCCTTCTCAGGCCAGCTGTAATTACAGTGGCGTCACTGCCTCCCGGTGTGGGCAGCGATGATTTGCAGTAACATGGCCATTTTAGAATTACGTTCTCCTCGGTATGAAATCAGATCCTGAGTACAGTCTTATAGTTACAACTATATAAAGGACCTGTGTCCCATAAATGTACAGCAGTGTTACTTGAAGGCAATAGATATTTGTAAAATTATGAGTTCTTCACCAGCATTTGAGTGAAAAATATCTCACCTCAAACTCCCCGACTCCACTTGCATTTCGTGTACAGTGCACCAGTGCACGGTCGTTACCCGTTTTACAGAAAACCACTCTCTCTTCTGCAGTGAGCCACATGCTCGATTCTACGCGGCTCAGATTGTGCTCACGTTTGAGTACCTCCACTCCCTGGACCTCATCTACAGAGATCTCAAGCCTGAGAACCTCTTAATTGACCACCAGGGTTACATCCAGGTAGGATTGGAACATTCCATGGCAGTATTATGTATTGGGGAAACACTGAGAGACAGCGGCACACATTTCACCTCAGCTGTCAGTGATTGATATTTTTTTGTTGTCCAAGGGAAAAAATTGTCTCTATCTAAAAGGCTGAAAGTGAATTTATAGTTCTGCCCCTGCAGAGCAGTAAACATCACATCAAGGAGGAGCCTGTATATTTCTCCTAGAGTTGGACTCCTGCAAAAGCAGCAGTAATAGCCAAACGTGGGAGTAGTCATGAATGCCAGGAAGCCCTGTATGTGCAGGCTGAGCAGCCCTCAGTCAGAAAGTCCACATAAAAAAGATTCCCATGCGAATCCTTTGGTATGTTGATATGACACTGAAGTAAAAAGTTCCTCCGGGGACTTCATGGTACAGTCAAAGACATGTGCCTTTGGAGTTCCTCCTGTCTGTGACTATAAGGAGCCTAAGAAACATGGAGTTTTGTGTCTGGACTCTCACCACTATCTCACTGTACATTTGGGATAAAAAAAAAAAAAATGGAAAAAATGTAAACGCTTTTGGTCCCAAGTATTCTGGATAAGGGATACTCAACCTGTATTGCCTCTTTCAATATTAGTAACCCTGTGAATTGTCAATAGTCTTATTGTCACCATTTTAAAGCTGGTCAGACTCGGTCACAGCCAGGACACAGCCAGTACTGGAAGAATTAGAATTATAACCCAGATTGTCTAGTCCCGAGTCCAGGCTCTTCACCACTTAGATGTGTGGTGGGTGAGACCTAACTGCAGACTGCAGCTGGTGGCTGCGTCCCCTCCAGGTCAGTTACTAGCACAGGGCTGTGGCTTTCTGGGATACACTCCATAGCAGAGGCGCGTTGGACTTGAGGGGATTTTCCTCAGCGCTTACTTCATATTGCCCTCCGTTTTCACTTTTTAAGTACTGACCTCTGGCACCTGGCACCCTGCATTTGTTTGCCGTTTTGAGATGGGGTTTCTGGCTTTGCTGTTCTGATCTTCAGTCACTAAATTGTTACCTGCATGAATTACTGACAATCACATTGACTTTTTTCCCCCATGCGTTTCATTTTAATCCTGAAATTTTAACTTTGAGTTTAAGTATAGGTCATCTGTTCTCTGTGAAGTGATCACTCTATGTGTTTCTGTTTCCTTTCCTAGGTCACAGACTTCGGGTTTGCCAAGAGAGTGAAGGGCAGGACCTGGACACTGTGTGGCACCCCAGAGTACCTGGCCCCTGAGATCATCCTCAGCAAGGTACTGGCTGCTGTCCACAAAGGCAGAGCTCAGCGGCATCTGACAGAGCATCCTTGGTGGAAGCTGGAGGCCTTTTAAGTTAGGGAGTTAAAGCTCCAGTGCACTCAGTGTTTCTGAGTGGAGTTGTCATAGAAACCTAAGCTGTATTAGTTATTGCTCTGGGTCGCACAGACACAGAGGAACAACCTGACCTTCAGGCTCCCGTTTCGAAGCCCCAGTCAGGACTCTTCCCTGGCAGGCCAGTGCCGGAGGCTTTCTCTGCAGACAAGATGGGTCAGGTGTCAGCTCTGTTTCAACTCACCACCTAAGAGAAGGGAACATTTGAAAGTTATTTTTAATCTTGTTTTAATAGTAATAATGTAGCAATTAGACCCTTTCAGCCTTGCCGAAGCCTAGACTACTTTCCAAATGGTAGATAGACTGCGGTGCTAGTACTTTACAGTTAATGTAACAAATGTAGTCACACTTAAAAGAATGTTTCTATTTTTCCCTTTCTTCTCTGGATTGAGAAATCGGGAAGGGAAAATGAAAAGCCTGAGCTCAGAGGAGCAGGTGAGGAGAAGTGGCTCAGGCCTAAAGCATGAGGAGACCACGTGAAATGACTAGTTACACAGAGCCCCCTTGCTCTCCTTCACAAGCTAGCTTCTTAGTCTCTCACAGTCTCACTAACCAATCTTTAAAAATTAAATACCATCTCTCCCTTTCATGTACTTATAAATGATGTGACCACAAAATAAATGTGAAAACTTGTACAAGTGTACACACTAGAGCATATGAAATACTCATTGCACTGTAGAAAAAAGAAGAAACTCAAACTCCTGGAGTCCTAGCACCCCAAAGACAGTCTTTAAGAAAAGACATTGTGTGTGTCTGTCTTCCTAAGTGTGTGTCCTAGTTCAGTCATGGTGACTGTATAGTGTGTGTATGGCTTTTACACTAGCATTCATGCACATGAGTGTGCACATGTGTGACGCTAATGCATGTGTGCAAATGTGCCATACTATTTTACTCACTCTTCTATTGTTGGCTATTACATTTACCTGTTGTTTGGTTGGTTGTAGAGTTTTCTGACTTTTTATATACAGTAAAGTTTTTCCTGTATTTTCATTAGTGGAATTGCTGAGTCAGAGGGTATGAACATGTTTAAGGCTCTAGATATAAATTACCAAGTTGCTTTCTAACAAGATTGCAGCATTTTATACACTTAGCCAGGAGTGTGTGGTAGTATCCATTTTTCCACATCCTTTCCAGACTTAAGACTATTTGCTAATTTAAAAGACAATGAAAGGGCCGGGCATTGGTGGCGCAGGCCTTTAATCCCAGCACTCAAGAGGCAGAGGCAGTGGATCTCTGTGAGTTCAAGGCCAGCCTGGTCTCCAGAGCAAGTGCCAGGATAGGCTCCAAAGCTACACAGAGAAACCCTGTCTCGAAAAACAAACAAACAAACAAAAAAGACAATGAATGATATCTCATTGTTATATTTGATTATGAGTTATATTTTCAAATATGTAATCGCCACTTAGTATTTCTTTGTATGTAAATCAAATTGAGAGTATATGTCCTTTGCCTGTTATCTCTGTATAGTGTTTTTATTAATGAGTTTTAAATTCTCCTGAGAGTTGTCTTGCAGCTGATGGATGTGTTTACTGTAAATGCTTCACAGGATGTAAAGCAAGAGTTAGAGTGAGCACTCGATCCCATTCTGATTAGTGAGGTATCGTTCCACTAACAGCTCATCTCCTTTGAAATATGTAAGGGGGAAAGAAGGAGCTCTCCGTGTTGTGTTGTGTTGTGTTGTGTTGTGTTGTGTTGTACCTGATGATTAGACAGCTGACACCCTGACCAAAGGCGGAATGTGGGCTTGTTGTTTCTCTCCCACATAATCTTTGCTTGATGCAGACGATGACTGGCAGCAAACTTTATATAAACGCATCAGGATAAACATTATCAGTAGGCATCCTCTTACAAAGTGTTCTGCATGTGGGTTTTAGTAATCTTGATATAAAACTGGCAGATGAACTCGATCAGAACCTTTGGATTGTATTTGCCTCACCATGTACATCTTAAACATGCCTTTCTTTTGATACGATGTTCACAAAACCCTATGCATGTGTTCTCCTCCCCGAGCCTTCGGGGATGAGACCCAGAACACAAAGAGCAAACTTCACATTGTACTCGAATGTTAATACTGGCTAGAGGACACTTCAACTTTCGTTTTCAAAAGATACTGAAATAGACACGATTGTCTCCAGTATTTTCACTTTCTCAGGTCGGAGAATATAGGCTGTTCTGAAGTCAGCTTCATTTCCGATGATCCAATTTTGTTTTAGTTTCATTTAACCTTTCTAACTCTGCTATTGCAAACCTAATTCGTACGTCATGGCTTAGGATGGGCCTCCCCGGGTAATTTGGTCTAATTCCCTGTATGCTGTTGAATAGCGAGAGTCACCCATTGAAACAGAAGAGATTTCACTCTCAGTGTTATTCTCCTTGATTTTAGGAACAAGATTTAACAGTCCTTCCCAATATCAAACTCCAATACCTGGAAATAGATTGCTTCATGTAATTAAACCTGTCCCGATAGGTTTTGCTAATTTCTCATATTCCATTTTTCACAGCTGCTAACTGCTGCAATTGTGTTCGTACACAGTTTGCAGATCGGTTTGAAATTGTCTTTGTTTCCCCCTGAGTGACTTATGTGGTGATTGTCACTGCTGCTGCTTCTTTTCAGGGCTACAATAAGGCAGTGGACTGGTGGGCACTGGGAGTGCTCATCTATGAGATGGCCGCTGGCTACCCCCCATTCTTTGCAGACCAGCCTATTCAGATTTATGAGAAGATCGTTTCTGGAAAGGTGAGTGATGCGCCTGGTAATTCCTTTCTTCCTCGTTATCTGGTGTGGTTTAAAGTTGGCAGATAGAGCCATAGCATGTTGTCAGACTGTCCGCCAGCTAGGGGATAGAAGTATTCTGTGCCGGCACTCTTTAGATAAAGAGCTGTTGTGTAAACACATCGACAGGTTACTAAGGCAGCTTCCATTTTCAGAGTTTTGGTTTTGTTTATTAAAGATTGTGATTATTCGAATATTCCTGTAAATCAGAATTGTGATCTCATGTGCATTTGTACTTGGAGAGTAATTTTAGGGACTGTTTTTATGTAACTGTTCTAAAAACAGACTTCTTATTTGAATTACATCAAAATTAGAAGTAAAAATGAAGTGGATGAGCCTTTTCTGAGAAAAATTTACAGAACTGATTTAAGAGAATTGCTTATGTTTAATGTGATTATAATTGGGGCTGATTTTTAGCAAGTAGGAAACAACCATTATCCTTGACCGTGAGCGGACTGTACATGTGACACTGTGGTAACTTACTCCAGAAACTCTACTTTTGAAGTTTTAGTCTCTAATTTTTCTTCCAAAAGTGAATTTCTGAAAGTCGGTCATCTTACCTTAGCTCATGCTTGCAATCTTTTCTGAAATTGTCAGTAGAGAAGGAAAATGCAGCTTTTGGAGCTTTGGGGCTGGAGAGAGCTCAGCAGTAAAGCTGTCTTCTCTAAGCCTGGAGACTCACAAGTGAAAGGAGAGAGCCAGCTCCTGCAAATTGTCCTCTGAGGGGCACGCATGCGCCCCTCCCCACATAAATAAATCCGTGCAGTTAATCTTTAAACACTCACAGGAGGACGCTTGCTGTGCCTTGTGGTAGCAGCCTGTAGGGAAGGGCCCTGTCCTTCGTTCTCACATGGCTTATATTCCACACACTTTACTTGTCCTTTTGTGTTTGTGAAGAATGCCACCGTGGAATGGACTTGAATTACATTGTCCTGAGAGGGAAGCACTTACTTTTTTGGTTGTTGTACTTTATGACCTGCTTAGGTAGAGATTAGTCTAATCACCTACAGACTAGAAAGAGCTAGAAGTGAAGTCTCCATTTATTTCTACCTCAGGCAGATTCATACTCTGAATTCTTGTTAAGCTGAGCTCGGCATCCATGAATTTAAATTTTACAGTGTTAAATATTCACAGAATACCCCGAATATCCAATAACGTAATAATTTAGCCTTTGTGCTAGGATCCAAATTTAAATTGTAGATGCTCCACCATGAGGCTGCTCGGGAAGACACTTATTAGTAACTGTCTATCCAGCCATTGAGATTCCTGCTCTATATGGCAGGGTTCCTCCAAACCTCACAAGGTGTGTGCAACGTAGGAGAGTCTTGAGATTTTCTTCCTTGTATTTTGTTACATATTCTGGGGAGGTATTGATATTTGGGGACTAGCCATAGACATGAATTTAAATTTGTCGCAGGTGATAAGTAAACACCTCCTGCTTGTAAATAAGCTGAGCGTGACCGTCCAAGGATGGACAGCGATGAAGGCGGTGCAGGAGAATGGGAGTCTCTGCTGTCCGAATTGCATTTGTAGGTCTATACTTCAGGTTTCTTAGCTTTGCCATTGTTTTCCCCAGCAGAATTTGATAAAAACAACTTTGGATGTGCACAAAGTAAAACATTGCAAAAAAAAAAAAATTAGTAGAGGAGGTGATTTTGTTTCTAAGAATGTGGGCTGGAGAGCCGGCTTGCTGCTCTTGCTGAGGTCTAGGGTTTGGTTCCCAGCATCCACATGGCAGCTCACAGCCTCTGGGAACTCAAGTTCTGGGGGGATCTGCTGCCCTCTTGTGGCCTCCACAGGCTTTTTCTGACACATGGAACACATAAACTCATACAGACACACACACATATTCATCAAAATAATAAATCTTTAAAAAGAAAGAATGTGAGAAATGAATACTTAAATTTCAAAGAGAATAAGAGTCAAAGGTCATATGAGGCCTAACAGGAAATTGAATATGTTAAAGCTGTGAGAGGAGAATGTTTTATTAATGCAAAGTAGAAATGTAGGCTGAGCAGAAATATGGAAATTATATGAATGTTTCAAATAATTCAACTAGAAGTAACTAGAAAGCTCCTGAACCTTTACCATACTACTTTTATACTGCTTCATAAAAGAAATCAAATTATAACAAAGATGCTGTGTAAGCTAAATGTATATTTACTTAGGACAACTGCTTTAGTTAAAATGAGTGCATCTCTCTTGGTATGAATTAACCTCAGCTTGACAGTCATTCTCCCTTGGGCAACATTTTTTCAGCTGTTTGTGAATGTTTTTCACTTCATATTAAGTTTTAATATTTTTTATCCCATAAGTGAATATTTTCTAAAACTTTAACCATTTAAAATGTAATCACACTTTTAAAAAAGCATAAACTATGTCACATCATTGATGGGAATGATTTTCATCATTTATTTGGAAATACAACAAGTGTGTTTAGCTAATGGTGTCAGATTCTCTCCATGTTGGATAGATTTCTACCCCTTACCATTGACAGCAAAACCCATGACATGGAATATTGCCTCTGCATCATCGCTGGAATCTGTGTTATGTGAAATACAAGTCACATTCACCAGTTTCCCCATTGGCATTCAGGTCCAGACACAGGGGTCTCTGTCCTTACTGCCTCCATTAGTAGATAAAGCCAAATTGGAAGATAAAAAATATTGCCTCTGCATCATCGCTGGAATCTGTGTTATGTGAAATACAAGTCACATTCACCAGTTTCCCCATTGGCATTCAGGTCCAGACACAGGGGTCTCTGTCCTTACTGCCTCCATTAGTAGATAAAGCCAAATTGGAAGATAACTAGTTTTTAATGTTTTAATAGTTTATGTCATTAAAATCCAATTTTAATATTATATTTTGGGAGTCTATATTTGTAGTTTTCAATTGTTTTTTATTTAAGGATTGTTTTTTTCCTTCTGGAGAGATGGTGCATCCCTATACTCTTAGCCCTTGGCAGGTAGAGGCAAGATGTTCATGAGTTCAGGACCAAACTGGGCTCCATGGAACCATCTTAACACCAACAAAAAAGAATAGCTTTGTCTGATCTTTTCAACACACATTTCATAATACAATGATATTTCATGTTGATTCTGTTCTGAAACTATGATGTAAAGTAGGTGCAATGTCAAAGTTAAAAAAAGTTATTACTTGATTAATTCACTTAAGTACATACATTTGAACATTAGACTGTTAAATAATTTCTCTACTACAGTATTTTAACCCAAACTGGTGTTTTTAAATGCACATAGAAATGATCAGTCAGCTCTCAGACTCTTTTGCACATATTTTGCTTTTGAAAACACAGAGGAGGTGGTATTTAAATGTCAGATTGTTCATGACTATTAGGTTTAGGTTTGGAAATGCACAGTGACAGAAAGGATTTGCAGTTCTGCAGTCACTATGCCCCACCCTAGGGATGCATGCACTGGGTTTCTCTACACAGTCTTTGCATTTCATGTCTGTAACAAGAATCAGGTATGCTTTCCACAGCAATTCTATCTGACTGTGTTACCCATGGGAATATAATAAATCAATGTTGTGTTCAAAGATGCTGTGTGAAGACAGAGCTATTACAGAAAACATGATTTTAGTCTTTGACTTGAATAATTTGAAAGAGTCTTAACTTGACTATGTATAATGTAGATATGATTCCACTCTCAACGAGCAGCAAGAGGGCACTGCAGGGAATATAGGGCATGAACCTCACTAGACACTGACCGCTGATTTGCTGAAGAGAAATCGGCATCCACAAGAAGGGTAATTGATTGGTAGCCCAAAGGTCATTCCCTCCTGGGTCAGGTTCCAAAGTCTGTGTCTTGGTTTGCTGACTCTGGGAAGACTCGGAAGGCCCAGGATACACTGGTAATTGGGCTTTGATTTCTTACAGCCAAAGGCTACAAAGCCAGATGAGCACAGGGTAAAAGTAGTCCAAGCAAGTCCAGAGATCTCCTGTCTGGAGAGCCGCAGGGGATGAATTTAACTACCCCAACGTCAACTCACTGAAACACACACGTAGGGAATGATACATGTCTGTGACAGCCATGAGAGAGTCAGTACCCAGTGTTTTTATTGGCAGCTCATCATCCACACACTATCTACTTACCACAGAGCAAAGTCCTGGCCTCTCAGAATGAAAGCACACATTCAGATAAACCACATTATCTATAGATCTGTGCATGGTGAGCCACACTTGTTTGGGGGAAATTTCATACAGTGTAAGGAGTTGACACCACTCAAGGTCCCAGATCTCTGACAGACACAGAACTTGGAAGCAGCCATCTGTAAGGCCAGCAATCTCAGGCCTACTATGCCTTCTTTTCTACATACAGCCTGCATCCTAAACAGTAAACACATACACAAATACACAGCTGCGTGTTTTTTCCTAAGGTATCTTTGTTATTGCTGTTTTAGGAAATGTAAATGTCATTTTCTTCTTAGTTTTGTCTGTAGTTAAATTTACCTAGAAGTATTCAAATGTTACCTTCTTTTTACTGGGCCTCGTGTGTTGAAGGCTGGCCTCAAGCTCACTGTGTAGCTAAACAAGACTTTGAACTTCAGATCCTCCTGTCTCCACCTCCTGAATGCTTGTGCCAGGAAGACCAGTTTTACGCTGTGGAGCTATATGAGACCCAGGGTCTTAGGTATTCTAGACAGCACTTGACTAGCTGAGCTGTGTCTCCAGGCCCTAACTGTCATGCTTATGAAATACAAAAGCAGTTGTGCTAATTTCATAAAACCCAAGGGCATTTTTAACATTTTGTCCTGGTGATTTAATAATCCTATGGACACCTGCTTCCAGATAAGTCTTGCTTGGCTTGGAGAGCAGATGATTCTACCACTACTGGGAACAGAGTGAATGTAGACCTCTGCATGCTTCTAGATTTGTTATGCTCCCCTTAGGGACAGTACTTATAAATATATTTTAATGCCTAGCTCTCTTTTCACTTACTGAATGCAGGCTGATGAGTGTTCCCCTGAGGACTGGTGTGAATGTTGACACGTCTGTACAAGGCCTAGTGAATGAAATGTTATATCTTCAGAAAATGTAATTAATATACAGCTTTTTTTTTGCTAGAAAAATCTTTCACTGAGATTGCAATAGTTCATTTGGAGAAATGGTTTCTTAAAATGTGTCCCAATATGCTGTGACCAGAAGTTAATAGAGTACCACTTGACTCAGTGTGCAAACTCATTGAAACCTAGTAAGTTTATTCCAGTGAATAAAAATTGTTACTAGCTATATAATATTTCCTCCATGATAGTAACTGAAGAATATTAACAAGACTTTCCCTCCATCAACCAGAAATCAATTTTATAACTTCTGTAATAAAACTCAGTGAAGACAAATTTAATTCAGTCTTATTTTATTGCTAAACGAGGGGGGAGGTAGCTGTAAAATCAGTTAATTTAATTTAAATCATGGATGCCATAACAACGTGCATTGGTTTACTTTTTGGATGTGACTTCACTTTTGAGAAATAAATGTGTACATTTAAATTTGTAGAAAATAATAGTTATTCCAAAATTGAAATGCATGAGCCTGTAACTGGTGCTGAAAACAGGGTGGTTTATCACTCTGCTCATCTCAGACTGAGTTTCACATATTATATAATATAGTATGATAAAGTAATTTAGGATATCAGCTGTATGCACAGTTCCTCTAAAAACAAGGCTAGAGTCATCCATTCTATCAAAATTTCAACATAGTTATACTTGGATATTTTGGGAACGGATTATAGACTCTATCTTAAGCTCCTTCCTTGATTAAAATTCTTTCAGCCTCGGAACATTAAAGTGGTATTCTAATAGAAAGACTGAAAGGATGGGAAATACATTACTATAATAAAATAAAAGCCAAAACATTTTCATAAATGTTATATAAATTTTCATACTGCCAAATACAGTATATTCCCTCGTATTCTAGTTGGATAGATTGAGATTGAAAATGGTAAAAGGGTTTTCCATGCGTCACAGCATATGTATTCATTCGAGTTGAGATTGGAAGTTGGAAGTTATTTCTGCTGAGGAGATTTGATCAGGTGTGGTGGCAGTTGTTTGTCACCCTCCAGCCTCAAGAGATTGAGGCAGAGTGATGGTGAGCTCCCAGGAGTTTGAGTCCAGTCTTTTGGGTCAGGGATTGAGAATATAAAAGGGGAACAGCTTGATAGCATTTTTAACTCCTGGTACCACATCCAACACACAGGGAAAACATGTTGGCTCTGTCTCTGAATATGCATTTCACTGTCTCCATGTCCAGCACTCTCATCCCACCTGAGTCTCTCGAGCGGTTCTTAGAGCACCCCTCCCCCTACATCCTGTCACTCCTGTAGACCCTTGAGATGGATGGCTGAGGATGCACATAGTAGATTTACAGTAAGAGTGGATTCAAATTCATACATGTATTAAGGTCAGTGTAGACGGTCAGGCCAGGTTTACTTGTTGGATACAACCTGTCAGTTGTGATCTCTGCCCGGATGCTGTGGTTTCCATCTTTGGTGCCCCAACGAAAGGGCACTAAATAGGTCTTCTGTGTATTTTCACATTGCAGACGATTCTAATGCCCATCATCTATGGTGAGCTTGTTCTACAAATCTGTAGTTATCCCACCTGAGCAGTGCACGATTAGGGAACCCTTAATCAGTGTGGTCTCAATATTGAGAAAGAATCACAATCAGTTCAATTAAGGAAAAATAGAAGCAAGCCCTCAAGGAGGCATGTGTCACATTGCAGACACCTTTCCCAGGCCAAGCACACCAGTTTCCAGTAACCTCCTCTGAGCCTCGATGGACTGCTAGGTTTAGACATCCTCATTTCAGCATCTTTTTTGCCTCCCTCTCTACAGCCACTTCAACATTGTCTACCCCGTTGCACACAGCCACAAAGCTCATAAATGTGCTCCAATGTTCCACACTTGTGATTTTTACTTTCTGAAGTGTTTTTAATTGATAATAATGACAAAAGTAATTCTCTTTTTGATATAGTTTTGAAAGAAAATTTAGTAATTCTTCCCTTCGTAGAAACTATTGTTGAATCCAGATTATTGTGCTATGATTAGCATGGACCATGGAAGATGTGGGCTACCTGTTAACATCTTTAGAGAAGAGGATGTGATTTGGCAATGGGGTACGTCTATAATGGGAAAAGTCCCCAATTGGATATGGTCCAGTTTCTCAGACCAACACTACTGCCCATTTGAGAGTTACTGTTGTAAAACATAAACTTACACACACATTTGCCCATGTTGAATAATCGGGACTACCGCTCCGTTTGAGTTGCAGAATGAAGAACTGCTTTGTTTGGGTGCTTGCATTCTGTTGCACATTATCTGAATTCAGGAAATGGTTTATGTGCAGAGTATTATTGTCTACAATTGTGAGCGTCATGGACGGCATCACTGGTACATTACTTCTGTACTTCATGCAAATTCCACTCCAAGCCAAGTCAGAGCCACTTGAAATAAGTCATTCTTTGAATCTAAACAGAGTTTAGATTCACTGCAGGAGAACCTGACCCACTGTAGCCATGGGGCAGCAATGCCATTCACTTTTCATGGCAAATATTCTTTGTACAAAGTGATGGGCTTCGGAAAACAGATGTCCTGCTCTGCCCATATGCACATCCTCATCCCTTTGTCTTTCCCAAAGTCTCCTTAGCCTCAGGCTCAATTCTCTCGTCTCATATATACTTACATATATGTAGTTGATGTGCCTGTGTGAAAATGCAGGGCTTATTGAGGGAAAACATTTTTGAGTGGCACTTATGGATCACGTTTTCCTCACCCATTCATCTGTTGGTGGACACCTAGGTGATTACGATGAGTGCTCAACAAATACGAATGGATGTGCAAAGATCTCAGTGATACCTTGACTTGGCCTCTTTCGGTCATATACCCCAGAGTGATAAAGCTGGACTGTGCCGTAGTTTTGGTTTTGTTGTTATGGAGCCTCCTGATTGGGTCTATGGTGGCTGACTAATTTACATTCTCACCAAGGGCAAGTGAGGTGCCCTTTGCTTGCTGTCCTGGCCAGCATTTGTTATTTGTTGTCATGACTGCCGCCCTTTCCCTTTGTGTTTTCCTTTGAGAAGTTCGGGTTTTTTCATAAGCCCATTTTACTAACGTAGAGAGTAGTCACTCCTTATTTTGCAGTAGTTGTTTCTAGTAAGAAAGATGAAACTTATCCAAAAGTTTTAACCTTTCTAGATACCATTTTTAGTCTATTAGTCATGGGAGTAGTGTAGAACAGTGAAAAGGGTGTGTGCTGGAATCCAGATGTCTGTTTGGAACTTCAGCTCTGCCTCTCCGATGTGCAGTCTTAAGCAAGCCATTTGATTACCATACATCATACATCTCAGTTGTCTCACCCATGCCTGGGAAGTGGGCTTGCAGCATACCTAAGCCCCCCCCCCCAGTCTGCATCTTAATATTGTATCTTCTGAGTCATTCCTGGCATTTCTGTGTTATTTCTCAATAGCAGAATTCTGCTTACAAGGTTTTCTCAGGCAAATGTAATGGATTCATATGCTGGCAAAGGCAGTGTGAGTGTTACAGCCATTTCAGGGTCTTCCTTGGTAGGCCTCCTCTCCAATCCACTCCCTGAGAGTTTTCATGTGGTACTTGTTCCAGTGGGATTACAAGTTTAAGTTGATATCTCTGGGACATTTTTGAGGTGCAGGGGTTCTCTCCTGAAGATGTGTCAACCTTCTGAAAGCGTTTAGTTTCTAGAGACTGCTCTATATACTTAAAAGGAGTTCACCATAGAAACAAGGCTCTCAGAGAACTTTGGTTCTTTCCCTAAATGGATTTCATTCTTTAAGACTGTGGCATGTCATGCAGAGTGTTTGGAGGTCTTTGTTGGTGTGATGGTCTGTCACCTGGGTAAAGCCCAGATGAAATCACAACAGAGACACCGCTGTTTGGAATGTTCTTCACCACCTGCTGTTCTGTGCAGGTCCGGTTCCCCTCCCACTTCAGCTCTGACCTCAAGGACCTCCTACGGAACCTGCTGCAGGTGGATCTGACCAAGCGATTCGGAAACCTGAAGAATGGCGTGAGTGACATAAAGACCCACAAGTGGTTTGCCACGACTGACTGGATTGCTATTTACCAGAGAAAGGTGTGCCTCTGTTCTTAACTGAAAGACTTTGAAACAGTGGTGGTTGAAACCCTGGAGCTGAGATGCTCTCAACTTCAGCAGTTGAAATGGTCTTACCTTTCAAACTAACCCTCTGCAGGATCTTTCTCCAAGTGCTTTCTCTTCGGTAAAAGAGAAACCTGTATGGTTTCCTTCCTGAGTTTTCCCGGTCCGTGCTGACTCTTGACAATAGTATGGAAGTTGGGTTTTAGACAATATTCTATAGGTTTGCATTTCAAAGCTGATAAAAGTCACATTTAAAAAGCCAGTGCATAACTGAGCCCAGTCCAGAATCAGGACATGGCCAGGCAGACACGGAGTCAGCCTAAGTCCCGGAAATGTGGTCAGTTTCATCCTGGCCTGCCCGTGCTGTGGGCATTTAGTGGACTCACCACCCTTCCCAGCTCCGCGGGCAGATCCAGCCTGCTCACATGTTGAGCCCTCTTGGGTGTTCACCTCTCAGCTCCCAAGGGTCATCCCCACTTTGTTCACCTTAAAAGTTAAATCATTGTCTCATTGTGCTGTCTTCCCTGAAGCACGTCCTTCCTTGCCATTTTATACGTTCACACTCATTTTAAAATATTTCATGACAATAGGAACTTTATCTTTCTTGTTTTGTATCCTGTCTCTGGCAAGAGCCACTGAGCCATACAGCCCGAATGTAGCCAAATTGCTACAGCCAATTGAATACCATTGTTCTACAGATACAACTGTCCTTTGTCCATTTGAAAGCTTCATTAGGAGAGATTAAATTCATGCTTTGGGGAAAGTCAGAACAAATTACCTGCCATTGCTATATTTTGTCTTTTAGGAATTACTGATTTACTTAGCATTCCTCCAAGTAGTAACCGGGACCCTGTGCTGCCCCTAGGCACTGTTCAAGGTGCTGAGCACATGGTGAGATGAGTGGAGTGGCCTTTGGTCCTCCAATTCGGACCTCAGAGTTAGAGGGGTCGGAAACAAATCAGTCTGGTGTGCTCACAGTTATCAAAGGACTAGAGAGAGCACTTTGCTCCTGAGAGCCCCGATGTTTCTGTCTGCTCGCTTGCTTACAAAAAAGATTCTAGTGGTAGAAGTTCAGGCAACGTGAACACTAGTTGTGTCAGTTAGCGGATCCCTAGCACTAGTGTAGCACACGATGAAATAAATAGAGGACAACTCTAGCTGGCCAACGGCGTAGTTAAAAGAGACTAGCTTTATTTCCCAGGTAGTCAGCCATAATGGCGGCACTATATTACTTACTAGCAATCACTTCTCTGTTCTAATAGATTGGGAAATTTAAGAAAAGAGTTTGCTCTGTTAACTGTATCTCTCCTTTCACTCTTGAGTGCTGAGTTAAAAATAGTTTGCATGAAGTGTATATATTTAGCTCTCCCCTCCCCAGCCCCAGCAAACCCACAGCTTCAGATGTTTCTGAAGTTTGCCGAGGCTCATGAGGGACAGCCACAGAGCACATTTCCTGAGGAGAGAGAATTTAACGCTCTATATCATATTCAAAGCAGTTTTCCTAATCCATTAACATTTTAAAAGATTATAAAAACAAAGCTATGGAATAATTGTAAGATTCAGCTAATAGAAAGCATAGTAAGGCTGAAACAGGATGAGAGCAGCACAGTCACTGTGCCCCACAGGGCACCAAAGCTCAGAGCCAAGCTCAGGAAGCACAGCCCTGGGCGTCTTTAGCCTAGACTCCTAAAGCGTGCTCTGTGCCTCATCTACACAGTTCTTTATGGTTGAGAAAACGAGTTCTCATCCGTTTCAAGGTTTCCTGTGAAAAAGAGGATTTGTGTTTTTTGGGGTTTGGGGGTTTGTTGCTGTTGTTTTGTTTATTTTTTCATCTTACTGATTAGGATAGCAGCTTTACTATCATTGCTCCCAAATAGCATCTGAGTTTGATCCCAGGTTCACCAGGTTCAAATCTCAGCACATAACCACTTTAAAATCTGCCTCCTCTTTCTGGTTTTTGTGTGTTGTTTGTGTGTTTTGTTTGAGATAGCGTCTCACCCTGTAACTCAAGGATTTGGAACTATACAGTTCTGTCCTCAAACAGGGGCTTCAGGGGAGGCTCTGGCCATGGCTTCCCAGGGGCTGGGATTATAGGTATGAGTCACAATGCAGGCTTTTGAAGTTTCTTCTAACATTATTATTAAAAAGAAGGTACAGAGTGTTGAATAGCACATTGTTTCATGAAACATTCGGATATTGCACACCACCTGTTTAACTTGTAATTTTGAGTCTTCATGAGAAGGAAAGGCTGATTCAATAGGAAGGAGAGAGGGAGAGGAGAGGAGGAAAAGTGAGGGAGAGAGAGAGAGACAGAGACAGAGAGAGAGAGAGAGCGCAAGCTGAACTCTGGACCTAGGTAGATGTGGGCGTGAGTCAGGTCAGCTGCCCAGTACAGTGTGATCTTGAGCACATCGTCTCAACTGTGTAAACATGAGCTTTGTCACTCTTCAAAGTGCAGTTAAGGTAGAGAACACAGCAGGAAGCTCAGTGTGTTGAGAAAGACTAGATGGGTAATCAAGGCTGCTTTTCTACTCCTGCAATTTGGTGAGGAGACAAACATGGAGTCCTCCTCCCCCAGACATGACTTCTGTTGACACTGGGTGATTTCCTGCTCTTTTCCGTGTTCCTTGTCACTGCTGTCTCTACATGGCCACAGTGCCCAGCTTCAGTCTTCTGTCACAAGTGCTGCTTTGTACACATTTCACTGGGGTGACTTACTACCTCATCACAGAGCCATTGTGAAAGAGTCTGTTTGACACCCATCTCCTTGCAGCCCTCGGAGCTCTAATTTCTTGTTTATTGTTGTACAGTAATTAGCCTGTAGTTAGGGAAGCATTGTTGAGGAACCCTGACGAGGCCCTTACTAGTCCTAAACTATTATACACTTGACTGTTTCTGAACGGAACATGCTTCTACATTTATTCAGCCATTTTCTGGCACTCAGCAATGTTTAAGTTCCTCATATACTTGCAACTTTTCTTACACAGAATTATCTGTATTTATCCCTTGTAAATTTTACCAGAAACCCTTCTTTACTCTTCTCCAGCCAGTTTTAGATTGACATTTTCTTGTAAAATTATTCCTACTGCTTATCATTACTGTGCCTATCATCTCTGTTATATTTATTGTTAGTCATTGTTGTATGTATTTCTGTGATGTGTTTGTGATTTGTTAGTATTTTAAAGAGTTCTGAAGTGTAAAGCCGGGCGTGGTGGTGCATGTCTTTAATACCAGCACTTGGGAGGCAGAGGCAGGCAGATCTCTGATTAAGACCAGCCTGGTCCACAGCCAAGGCTACATAGAGAAACTGTGCTTTGAAAAACAAAACCCAAAAAGAGTTCTGATGTAGTTTGAATCTTTCTTACTAATATTTTATAAATAAAAAATTTTGTGCTGATACTCAGTAAACACATGTTTATCCATGTTACACAGGAATTAATAATCTTTCTAAAATTGTGGTAGAACTGAATTGCTACTGCCCATCTGGACGTCATGTGTTTCAGAAAGGGCTTGACTCATCCCAAATAGTAAACTGTTAACAACCCAGAAATGGTGCATGGTAACGGGCCATGTCACCCTGTGAAGCACTTTGATGAGCAGCTGAGTTTCTGTTATCAGAGAAGCAGGGGTAAGGAGTGGTGACAGTCACAAAGTATAATCAATACCTTAATGTAGGCATTGGTTTCAGTACCCTTTCAGCTGCACATTTAGCAGTGCAAAAATAAGACAGTAAATTTCAAAAGCTCACAGCCTTTTGTTCCCTGACTAGTGTTTATGAGCAATGAAGTAGCCAAATGCACCTAGCATGAAAATAAATATATAACATATATAATAAAGAAGTGGCCTGGACAACGTAGACCACACAGTCATCTCTAGAGGTGGTCTGATTCTGAAGCACCATTTGGCTAGAATTGAAGCAATTGTCTGCTTGGCTCATTCTGTATAGGATAAAATGTGGTCCCAATACAGCATGCCAGGCAGCCAACTGGGAAGCAGAAGATAATATTAAAATTTCCACTTAAACTTATTTCTTGCCTTGTTCTTTTCAAGTATCTTTTTATTTTCATGTTTGTATTTTATCTATAACCTATGATGTATTGATATAGTCATGCATGGAAATAATTTATAAATAAACAGCTATACATTATGAGGTGTAGTGGAAAATAGTTAATGAGACAACTGCTGTACAAAGAAGAAAGATTCCCTGCAGAGTTTGATGCCTGCTTCAGTCATTAACAATATGATGAATTCGGTTAACTCCCTTTTGTAATATTTAAAATAGGAATGGGAAAGCCTGTCTTGCAGAGTCTGTTAAAGTGGAGGTGGGGAGATGAGATAACTGTGTCTGATTATTATAAATCCAATATCTGATATGTAAACTGCAGCAATCATTTCAGCCTTTAAAATTTGTCTTCACACATATTAAGCACACCATAAGATTATATGGAAAGACATTTTATTTTCAGAGTTGAGATGAAATGCTTGGAATTTGACACTTCTATGATTCTGTGAGATAATTTCTACTTAGAATTTTGATGTTCAGAGGCTTTAAGTACACTTGGGAATTAGAAAAGAAAAGTTTAAACGTATAAAATTTATTAGCTAACCTCAGGAGAAAGGAATTTTGAAAAAAATAAAGACTTTGGAAATAAATTGATAAAAATAGAATAAAATGCTAAGTAGTTTTCTAAACTTAAAGCCAGAATTTTGAAACTGGTTGTTGATTAATCTGGAAACCTCATCAGTATTTTGTTACAATTCTCAAATAAAAATGTGAGATTCTAGTTAACTTCTAGTGCATTGAGTATCAAGAACTTACTTAAAGATGCAGAGTGAGTACATGCTGGGGATGCATTGTTCTCAGTGTTTGCAGGTCTCTGAGGAGTTGTTCTCTTTCTGTTTCCCTCCTGATGTCAATTGTAGGTTGAGGCTCCATTCATACCAAAGTTCAGAGGCTCTGGGGATACCAGCAACTTCGATGACTATGAAGAAGAAGAAATCCGTGTCTCTATAACAGAAAAATGTGGAAAAGAATTTTGTGAATTTTAGGGAGGGAAAAGATGGCCTCGAGCTCACACTAGTCTTTGCACGCTGTGGAGGTGGAAGGTGGAGCCGAGCCCTGCTCATTGAAGCAGTTACCAAGTTCCTTCATTCCAGCAACTGAGTGAGGTCCGTATCGCATCATCAGTGTGCACTCTGCAACCACCTGTGTACCAGGGCACCGCTCCGCACGCATTGTCCGTGCCATGACACAGTGTGCACCACTTTCCTACTGTTGAGTTGTTTTTCTCCACCCTCCTACATTCTTTTCATTATCTTCTCTGACCAGTACTCCACTTTATTTTCTCCGTGTTTCAGGTGGCAGTGTTATGGCTGTGTGATATTTAAAAGGAAAGCTACGTGTTGCTTCTTGTAGTTTTGAGCGATATTTTTGCTGACCAGTGGCTTGAAGATAAACTCTCTAATGATTATTTTTATTTTGAGTAGCTCGGACTCAGTTTTGCCAAAACTCTTATAATTTTTGAAGATGGAATGTCTTATCACCAAGGGAATATGCATAAGTGAAGATAATAACTTTTCAGGAGTCACTGATGTGGCAATAAATTCAGAGTGGCTAGCCTAGCAGTATGGACTCCTGGACCAGAGGCTTCATTTCCCTTTGCCTTTTAATATTCTTCTCTCTGTGAGAAATTAAGTGACCAGACAGATGCTTCATTTGTCAGGAGAAGTGAGGGGCGTGGCTCCTTGCCCGGCCGTCTCCCTGGTACCAACATCTCTGTGGGTTAGAAGGGCATTCCGAGGTTTCTAAGCCTTCACTCTTCCATGAGGGTTTTAGCCAGTATTTAGGAGAGCATGACTGCTAAAGCTATGCATTGTGAAATGTCTCAGACAGTCCTCATCGGCAGTGTCTTAAGGGAAACATGCGAACTAAAGGAACACAGATTTGGATAGATGCTAAGTCGAGGGAAGCCTTGATCCCTGCTTACAGCGTAGAGCTACTGTCCTTTCAGGGAAGTGGTCTGTTTGCTTTGGTTCATAACACGTAAGGACAAGAAGTTGCTGTTGCTTACTGTTGTGACGTATTAAGATGAGGGCACCGTGGCAACTTCAGATTTTATCCCCTGCTTTGGCAGAGGGGGGGGGGAGGCAAAGCTTAAGAAACTGCCACATTTGTAGTTTAATTTTGAGGTGTGATATTATCTTTAGATACATCGGAATTTCTAACCTCTTTTTTTCTTTGTAGACAGAGTATATGATCATGCAGATACAGTTTTAATATTTGTGTTTCCTTAATTTTTTTATACTTTTTGCCAATTGACTTCACAATGTTGCCATCATGAGGAAATTTCAAGCACTCTTGCACATTTAGTTCAGTGTTCTTTGTGAATAAATGGCTTAACTTTTTTTAACTATTTTTTCCATTGCTTTTATTTTCCTGTCTCATTTTCTCTCTGTTTCAGTGACCTACCTTAAATGATCAACTCACCCAAATGGTTTAAAATGTTCCATTTTGTGAGCAATCTACAAGCATATAAGGTTGTTTTAAATCAAACAAGCCCTAAACTTTATATATATATGTGTGTGTGTATATATATATATATATATATATATATATATATATATATATATCCAACCTTGATCTGCTTCCTTACTGGTGCAGGTAGGTCATTGACGCCACCCCTGTTCATATGCACCCACCCCTCACTAAACCCTTGAAGACACTGAGAAGTCCTACAAGAGACCTTCTCTCCACCTATCTGCATGTCTTTTGGTTGTCAAGTGTTTCTGCATGGTAGTGTCCACAAAGACAAATGATGATTTCAGTTGGTCCACCTGTATTTAAAATGTGCAAGAAAAATTGAAATACTCTGCTGTAGCAAGTTTTATGTAACAAAGATATATCGTCGTCGTGTTAATAACTTAAATGCATCATTTGTACAAAATACTTTAGTTTTTTGTATTTCATTTAAACCCAAGAACATGCTAATCATTGTGTTTTATGTATGCTACAAATTCTCTGGTAGAATTGTTGTATATTATTGTAAAATTATTTCAATAAATCATGGGGATGACAATTTGATTATTATACTTTAGTTTTCAAAATTGAACAGATTTCTATGAATCCTAAAAATATTTTTTTCTATGAAATCATTAGTACCCAGCTAGAGTCCGCCCAGGTATGGCCCCTAGACATAACATTGGTTTCTGCGGCTTCTCAGCCATTCCATTTCACTGTCTGTTTGAAGTACATGAGCGAACTGTCAGATGTGTCAAAGGGGTCTATTTCTGACTAATCAAGTGCACTAAATCAGAATATTCTTAGCATACTGAGAGTTCCCATTTTTAGCCACAGGGTAGCCAAAAGGATTTTCTTTAAAACTTAAAATAATAAGTCAGTGGCAAAAACCAGTGTTTAACTCAAATTATATTACACAAAACAGAAGAAATTATGTTTTTGCCCAGAAAATAAAGAAACAGCGTGGTGCAGGAAGGAGCCTGGATGACAGTGAAACTTACTGGAGTGTTGTCAGTTGCAGACAGCAGAAGAGCTGGACAGGCACTTTCTGGGTCCTTTCCAATTCCCCATGTTAGGTCAAGGTCCCCTCTTTATCTGATACCCTTAAGGGACAACATACTCTGAAGTAAGTTTCTGTACAGTGATACATTTCTGTGCATCCTTCCTCTTACCTCTTACACTATCCTGAAAATCCTTTGACTATCATAAGACCCTTGTCTGTCCCGTTCCATACTCCCCCACTGATGCTAATATACACTTGATATCAAACTGTCAGCCTACCAAAAAGATATTGTGGCTTATGGGTATTGCTGTCTTGTTCTTGGTATGTTCCTATACTGATTGCCCCTCAGTCTGAAAAAAAATGCTCATTGTAAGCCTAAAACTAGATGATTTTGCTTTCCCACTCACTGTTTTTTCTTTCCTTCTGCTTGTTGTAAGAATCCAATGAAATAATGTATGTAAAAGCACCTTGTAAACTGTAAGCTTTCGGTGTAAGATGTAAGGTGTGTTGTTTTTTCATTAATTCTTTGTTTAGAGTGGAATTTCCTATGCACTACTATAGCTAGGAAATGCTGAAAATGTGTTTTTTAATTCATCAATAACCGCAAAATTAAAGTATCTTTAAAGAAGAAAAGCTGTCGCGTCTTGAATTTCATCCAGTGCCCTTCATCCTGGGCTTCTCTTCTGCTGCTGCTTGTGGATGTCTAACTTTCAGGGAGTTGGAGTGATATTTAAAGCTGAGAGCTGAGCAATAAAAGGATAGAGATCAACTATTCTATTCAAATTGGACCTTGACTACAAGCTGCTGGGTGTAACCCAGGCTTGCTGTGAAGTGTTCCTACTTCCTCATTTTGCTCCAGATTCCTGCTGACTGTGAAAATCCATGTGTGAGTTTGGTGCTGCAAGAGCCTCGTTCTCATGTGCAGTGAGATAGGAGCATGGGCTTTGTCCTTCAGGGCCTTTGTCCTTCAGAGCTTAGCTCTACCCTTATGGTTAGACTGTTCCTTGTACGTGGCTACAGCGGCAGCTGGCCTTGACAAATCATCAGCTTTAGGTAATTTTTTTAATACCTTGCAATTTTGTTCGATGATCATTGCAAGCATTTGCAAATATTAACACATTTTCTAACATTCTTACTGTTTCTAGTGCTGATTTTTCTTTTTAGTCATTATCGGGGCTTAATATAAGTCCCTGTTTTCTCATTTCCTTATAAAATTCTGAGCCTGTCGTTATCCTATAACGACTATTATTTGAGATCCAATTAACAAAATTTTTCATACACAATTGTTGGATATAAAGATAAACATTTGTTTTCACTTTAGCTCTTCTGAATATGTGCTCAATAGTCTTTGTGCTTAGAGGGGCTCAGTTTAAATATTGCCATAAAAAATTGACATGTTATGCAAATATGGCAATACACACACGAAATCCCAGCATTCAAGAGGCTGGAGCAGGAGATTCATAGGCTGGGCTGTGAAAGAGAGACCTCATCTCCCAAAAGAAAAAGTATGGTATGTGTGTTTTCATCCATTAAATATATGAATCCTGATTCCCAGTTCCTCAGAACATAATTAGGACTGGAAGAAAGGTTTTAGGGGTGATTAATGTAAAAACTCAGTTGAATGGATGATGCCCAGTCCAGGAGGACTGGTGGTTTTCTGAGAAATTAGGACAGTAACATGCCAAAGGAAGATGAGATGAAGACAGCATGGGCAGAAGCCAGCACTGTGAGCCACAGAGAGGCGTCTCTAGAGAAGTCAGCTCTTCCAGATCTAGATCTTGGGCTTGAAGGCACCAGAACGGCAAGAAGTGGAAGCCAAGGGCCCGCACGGCCCTCGGTGCTGTTAGGGTGGACTAGAAGTTAGAGACCCACAGAGCTGTGTGTGCTCACATCCTGAGAGGCCCGTGTGTGCCTCCCGGATGCTCGGCACTTGGACACAGTCGAACCGATGTTTTTAGAAGTTGGAGAGAGAGAGGTTCATTGTGCTCCTGAAGCTCTGGGTACCCTCTCTCCTGTTTCTGTTCTTGTTGGAATACGGAATAGCTACTGGGGACACTGAGAGTTGGAGAAAAAGTGGCTCACTCAAATCACTACTAACTCCCAGATTTTTCTCTGAGCATTAAGCTAATGTCTTAGAGTTGTTCAAATTGAACATGAAAAGCCCAGGGAGTTCATTCCGTCAGCCGTGATGTTGGCAGTAACTCTCACTGGATCATCCTCGCCTGTTTTCTTTGGGGAAAGGGCTCAATGGGTGGTGACCTATGGCATTGGCTTCCTGTTGCTGCTCTAACAAGTCTTCATAAGTTGAGTGACTTGAGCAAATAGGTCTATTACTACCTTGTAACGATGCATGTCTAACATCCACAGTGAAGTCCATTGGGCTAAGCTGGGATGGAAGCAAAGCTGCCTTTCTTTCTCAGGCCTCAGAGGATTCTGTGTCCTGGCCTTTTCTCTCCTACTTCCCTTGACTTAAAAGACCATTTCTCTGTCTTCAAAACCAACAACATTGGGCCATGTCCTCACACTACGTAACTGGACCCTGTCTTCACCTGTAAAGGTTCCTGCAATAGGGCTGGTGGCACAGCTCAGGGATGTTCTTTCCTATGTGCACCGGGCCCCAGGAGAAAACACTGTAGTGATCATTTGAGGTCCATCTAGCTAACCACGGCTCATGCCGCTTTCAAACCTAATGAGTAAGCTTCCTGAAGTGCATCCACCACCTTCATTCTCTTTGAAGGGCTCCATTTAGAAAATCAGAGTCATTTTTAAAGGTTTTTCATTTTACTTTGAATTGTGTCTAAGTGTGCCCGTGGAGGTCACAGGAGGCCTTGGGTCCCTTGGAACTGGAGTCACAGGTGGTTGGAAGTCACCATCTGAGTGCTTGGAACCAAATCTGAGTCCTTTGCAAGAGCAGCAAGTACTCTTAACTGACAAGTCATCTCTCCAGCCCCCTAGGATGAATATTTCAAAGGAAAAATATGAAGAAATATGGGAATTTCACTATAGGACATAGTTATCTCATTATTCTAAAGGGGGAGCTAGAGACAGGGGCAATAAAGAACTTACAGAAGAAACACTCTCAAGATAAAGGCTCAACCCTGAATCAGATGACCTACAAACTTCCAAAGAGAACAACAACAAAAAAAAAACCAGTATTTCTACAACAAAATGCTAATTAGGAGTGATTTCTTACTTACCCGAGACTCCAGAAGGCAGAGAGCCACATCCTGGACAATATTTTTTTTTTAACCTAAAATTTTTAACCTAGGCAACTACTGTTTGATTAGTAGGTGTGGAAAGACTAGTTCCCAGGTGGCTAGCCCTGTGTGATCCAGATAAGCCTAACTGGTGGAATGATGATAAAAGATTCAAGAACAGGGAAAAGATAACCAAAGCGTCTTCCTCCCACCCTCTCCCTCTATCTCTGCACCGTCTTGTGGATATTATCCAACACTGTCCCCCTCCCCCCCCCCCCCCCCCCCGCCACTTTACTGTGTGGCTTCAGCTCCTCAATTCTCCAACCCCTGCCTCCTCCTTTCTTCTGGAGCTGACAGAATGTCCTGCGAGTGCTTAGTTCTCTGTCTACCATGTCTGTATTTTTAGCAGGCTTCCTAACCTTCTTTGGTAACTTGTACTCATCTTTTGTCATCTAAAGTACAATTGTTTGGCTGTGAAATCTGTCTCTTCCATTCATCAGTCTGTTCTGTTAAATAGCTGGAGTGCCTTCTGTTTTCCTGACTGGGCCCTGGCTGTTGTCCCTTTGGCCACCTTTCCTATTACACACTTTACTTGATGACCAGACATCATTAGGAAGGGAAAACTTACGGCTTAAAAAAGGAATGACTGTTCCAGATGAAAGAGATCTCTGTGAACAGACCTTTATTAGAGACCTACAACTGTATTTCAGGAAAAGGAGTATGGATGGAAAACAGAGAGAGAGAGAACTCCAAGTACGTTTATATGTTCATTAGGAGCAGGGCATGAGATAGATGCAGAACTGCTCTCCAGACCTAGAGGGGAATGCATGTTGGGCAGATCTCTGGAGTTACTCAAACCTTCCTTGTTTCCTTCCACTATCTCCTAAAACACATGGCAGTGATAGAGCATGTTTTAAACGTTTTTTTAAGTACATAAATCACAATGAAAACAAGATAAACATCTCCCCAGACCAGAGCTGAAGGACAGACTTACTAACACATAGAAACCGTTCTGACTACATCGAAACCGTTCTGACTACATCGAGGTCCTCACAGCAAGCAGAAGGAAAAGATAACAGATGGCAGAAATGGCTACAGAGAATGAAGGTAATCTACTGTGGACATCCCTTCACTGAGAAACTGGTGAACCGAAATAGAAAAGGTATTCAAATGTATTGTAGAAGCAATTCTCTAAAATGAAAGAAGAACGAAATTTACATACTGAAAGAGCACTCCATTTTTCCCAGGGAAGATTGTCAGATCTTCCAACACTAAGTCATATCTTGAGGAAGATTTTTAATTCTGACAATTAAAATTTTGAGCATAACAGTCAGTTCACCAAAGCCAGGAATGCAGCTCAGTTGATCGAGGGCTTCCTAGCACTCAGAAAGCCCTAAATTGGATCCCCAGCATAGTGAGATATGGCTGTATTCCCTGCACTCAAGCAGCGGGAAGAGAAGGAACAGGTGGTCAAGGTTATCTGCAGCAACATAGTAAGTTAGTCCATGGTCATCCTAGAATGCAGAAGACCGTTCCATACAAACAAGACAGCAGTCAAGCTACTCCAAGACAAGAGGAAGAAAGAGGTTGCAGTTTCCAATGCCTTTTTTCATTGACGTCCAAATTGTGCAATGGCTGCAAAGGTGCAGGCCAAAAATATATGAGCCAAGAGTATTATACCCAGCCAAATTGCACTGCATTTAAAGGCACAGCCAGGCTCCTTTAAGTCAGCGATGAAAAATCCTTCAGGCCCTTCCTTCATATGCGAGCAGGTATAAACGACAGTTTGATGACAGAAGCAGTGATGGAGGCCGTGGCCTGCCTGAACCCGAGAAAACGAAGCTCGCATTAAAGCAGCTGTGGCCACTCATTATAGAGCCAATATGTTCCAAACCCTAGCGAACAGACTAATACGACAACAACAACAAAAACAATCCTTGAAGGTCACAAAGGGAGGAAATGAGAAACATTATAAGTCATCTAGTTCCTTCACTTACTGTGGGAGGCAGGCAGCTGACAGAGTCTAATTTTGGGATGACTCTAACCCCACAAGTTTTTGTTGTGATTTTGTGAATCGTTTGTGGAAGGGAACCTTATCAGTTTTGATTCTCACTTGAGCTTCTTACTTGTGCTAAACACAGTTACAGTGCTAGCAAGAAGGCTCTGTGAATAAAGATACTTGGCTGATAACCTGAGTTCAATCCCCGCAGCCCACACAGTGGAAAGAGAGAACCAACTCCTGCAAATTGACTTCTGACTTCCACATGTGTGCCATAGTACATGTGTGTCTCCTCCCACACACACAAAATACATAAATTAGCTTTAAAATTCCGTTGCAAGTTTCATTTCAGTTTCTTCTGGCAAACTGTCTTTTGTAGTATGGGTGTATATCCTATAGTATGCATAGAAGGAAGTTGAGTTCTTTCTAATATACTT